ACCCCTAACCCTCCCCACTGCTCCAGGTCCTCTCACTCCACCCCTGATGCCACTCTGCGTCTGGCCCCACTCTATCCCCCCCGCATCCAGCCCCGTGGCCTCCCCGCAACCGTTCTAGGTCCAGCCCCACTCTATTATCAATGAATTTGCCGAGTCCCTTTTTAAGCCTGGCTCTGCTGTCTGCCTCCACAACTTGTGCAGTGATTTCCACAAGTTAACTATGCATTGCAATAAGGAAGTACTTTTTCTCGTTAAACTCATCTCCTGCATCCAGTTCTGTTCCACCCACCTTGCCAGCTTGTCCAGGTTCACTTGGATCCACATCCTATCCCCTAGCATGACCACTTTTCCCCATAACTTAGTATTGTCTGAAAACTTGTTCAGCATGCTTTCCACATCCTCATCTAAATCATTGATAAAGATGTTGAGCAGCATGGGGCCAAGAACTGAACCTAGCAGGACACCACTGGTCACCTCCCACCAAGATGACACAGACCCGTCCACTAAAACTCTCACTAGTCAGTTCCCACCCCAGCTGACCGTGGACCCTGCCAGCCCACAATCTCCCAGGTTTTTTATAAGAGCATCATGAGAAACTATATTCACAGGCCGTGTGAATTCTTTCACAGCCCATGCTGACTCTTTTTAACACTAGCTAAAAACATTAACTGAGGTGTGGAAAGGTTAATGCAGGTAAACATTAATTTGGTGCAAGAATAACTTTCAGTGAAGCACTGGTTGCACTGCCAAGATGCTTAAGAAGGCTAGATTTTGTTTTCTGAATCTGAAAAAGAGATGTCCATTTAATTCTAATGACTACAAGAGTACTGGAACAAAATATTTTGATTATGTTTAGCCTACCTTGTTGTGTGTGTTGTGCATAATACATGCATAAAATAATGTACATTTTGTCGGGGCCGAGCAGCGGTCTGAGGCTATGGCCAGTAGCCTGAACCTCCAGGTGGGGTTTGATGGAATAGAGTTAGGCACGGAAGCGTATTGATTGCAAAAGAAAACTTTACTTACACCGTCAATGGTCGCAGTGCAGGAAGATAACTTGCTTGAATTACAGTTGCAACACAAACAGGGATGAGAGCTCTTTACAAACCGCACCGAAACAATCTGAGATG